TTTTATATCAAAATACACAATATTTGTACTGGTAAATGTGATCAGGAAAGTTTTATTTACACAAACATAATATGCATATCTACCTCGATCAGCAGCTGGAGTCAGACTGATGAAGCTTCTACATTTCTCACCTAAAAAAAATAACATGTATTTTAAAACAAAATTCAGGATTATTTTGTATTCTGTAATGATCTAAAGAAAGTGATTAATAGAAAGCAGAAAACATAAAATCTTTTTTAAAAGCACAAACTGAGATGATCAGAATAGACCATTTCTGATGTATGTTTGTACACACAGAATCCCTGGTACGTCAACCTACTCCTGGGACTTAGCTAGAGAATCCTTCCAGACTTTTTCAAGACAGAAGCAGAGTCTGGAAGACTTAGAGAAAGGCTATAAATTGATTTCCAAAAGGTTGTAGCTGTGAAAGCCAGAACGGGAAAACGATCAATTCCTTTGAAAGACTGACAGCCTGTATACCATCATCTCTGTGAAGGAAGACCTGTTCTCCTTACAGCTGCTGCTCACATAAATTTCTTCTAAGCTTGATTCCAATTTCTTTCTGTAAGCTTTGATTTTCAAACCCATGTGACCTCCTGACCCCCACACAGATGCTGTGTACAAAGCTCTTGGAATTAATTCTGCTCTGCTCTGAAAATACAAGGGGTTTTTTTCAGCTACAAACTGCACCAAGTTGGAAAACAAGAACTGCCATAGCAGATGAACAAATTAAACAACCCCAGTATCTATAGTAATCACCACCTGGAAGATGTCTTTTGGAGATGTATAACTTAGATTTCACAAATTTAATTGCTCAAATTATTTTTAAAACAACAAAAAAATCACATTGTGCCTTTTATGTTGCCATAGGGGATCGTAAGCGATCATTTAAGGCAAATACGTTCATTTTTGCCTAAGTGACTAAAAACATCAGAAAAATAAAACACTTTCCTGTTAAAATAACTTCATTTGCTGCTCTGGTTACATGAATTAAAAAAAAAAAAAATCTTAATCTGCACTACAACCTGTCACTCTAAAGTTCTTTGCAGAATTTATTAGGAATATTTTAGGAATTGACTAGATAGTACCTTCTAAGATCCCCCATCCCAGAGAACAGCAACTTTTTAAGGATACTTTTTTCCTTTAAAATACATACACGATATTGCAGCAAAGAGGAAGGTGACACCAAATAAGTAGGAAGACTCTGATTACTTTCTTAAGTAAACTTATATAGTTTTACTCACCTTCTTCATTTATAATTTCTTCACAAGAATACCAAATCCCAGCATGAAACTTTCTGTCAATGAACTTGTCATCGCCTGTCTCCCAAATATACTGCACAGCATTGCTGTTGTTGGCATCAGGGCTATTAAAGCGGATGCAGTGATCCCCTTTGCTCTGTCCTGTACAGAAAGGTTTGGCAACTTTTCTTGTCCCTTCACACCAGTAGCTGCTACTGAATGCTGTAATAGAGCAGGCTAAAGAGAGAAAACTGAGAAAAAATGCCACTGAGGCTCTCTGTCGTCTGTCTGCAGCTGGGTCTGAAGCTGGCATCCTCCAGGTCTGCAGTATCAATTATTCTAGAAACAACCTTTTACAAAGTTATGTATATATCCGCCTGGTGAGACATCTGCCTGTATTTACCATCTCATTCTTCATTCGCCTCAGAAAATTGTACCAGCTTAGTAGTTAAGACAGAAAGCAGAGATATGGGCATGACCAGAAATCATGTGGCAGAAGAGATTAAGGGTATAGGACAGTGTTGTTTGGCAGTAATGTCTTGTGAAAGAAACATGAGGAAGTGGGACAATAGATTATAGTCTGCCCCATGAGTCACAAGAGTAAAGATACACAGAGCACAGAAGCACTGGAAGTATCCCAGTATGCAATCAGAAAAGTTTTATTTATACACAAAACAATGCATATTCACCTTGATCAGCAGGCAGAGTCAGACTGATGGAACTTCTCCATTTCTCAGCTAAGAAATAAATAAAATCTTGTGGCTCCAACTTTACACTGTTACACTGAACACTGATTAAATTGAATACAGTTGTGGATCTTACCACAGATAAATTCTTAAGGAGATAATACCAGTTGCTAAGTTAGAGCATTTCACAGCATTACAATACTTCCCAAGACCACTGGGAAGGTGATTGCATCTGTTCAAAGTTCCACCAGTGACAAATGAAAGTTATATGACTTTGCTATTGATGGGCTTCTGGGCACTGTCCAGACTGCTTCCATGAACACACAATAGAAGTCTCGTCCAAGTTAGGTCCAAGTAGAGAAGCAGCTGAATTATCCTCATTTTGTCTGTCCATCTGTTCTCTCTGTAAAATAGCATATTTTCCCTTCATCTGAGAAACTTTTCCCACCTTGACATGTTGTGTATGTTGCTTTTTCTGCCTGTTTGACAATGCAAATAAGTGATGCAAAGAACAAGAAGGAGCAGGAGTGTTAAATGATTACTTCGTTTTACAACTGTAAGGTCAAAATACATGCCCTAAGGGAGAGTGTTACCACAGGACACACATTGAAGTCACATATTTTTTAATGAAAATCATTCTGATTTTTAGGACAACTCTCTACCCAGAAGGTGTCAGGGTTGGAGAAGCATGTGGCTAGACAAGTCCCAGCATGAAACTCAAAGAGACAGGATAAATGCCTGTTTTAGACTGTTAGAAAGAGCTCAGCTTGAAGAGTTGGCCAGCAACAGAGTGCAAGACCAATCAGGTATCTGGACTAAAAAGGCAGAGCAAATCTCAGACCCTGAAAAGCAGAGTGTAGATAGAGCCAGGAGTTCTTTTTTCCTATAGCTTTGTGTTCCTGTATTTTCACAAGGACATAGCACTCATGAACTTCAGCTGAAGCCTCTAGGCATTGACACTGCTTCTGGACAGCATAACCAACTGCCCAGCAAATCTGAGAACAGGATCAGTAGGAAGGAAGGAGGGAGGGACGTCCTTTTAAGGATTAGAAACTTATCTATTTTGGTATTCCCAGGAGTTCTCTGCATATGACTGTATTCAAACATATCTTGAGGCCTGTGAAACCACTGACTCAAGGCAGCTGAGTTCACTTGTGAATAACACTGACACCTCTTTCATATCTACAAACTTTACAGTTTTATGCCCCTTATAAAATTTAACCAGCATAAACATCATAGCATTGTAGTCATCTTTGACTAAATACACCTTGTACTAGACTATGAATCAGTCTCTGGAAACTTTAGAAAAAGCTCTGTCAATTTTGTTCTGGTTGACAACTACAGTCTGAGATTTTTCACTTAGCCAGTTTTCTGCTTAAGCCCTATCAATGCTAGTACCATGCACTTTTAAATCATTTTGCCATTTAAGAATGTTCTGTATAGTAGGAGAAATGTATTCTATAAGCATTTATTGGTTAGATCTGTCATACTGTGAAAAAAGAAAATAAAAGAGGAGCAAATAGATTAGCTGGACCTTCCTTCAAATAAAGTGTTATATTCAGTGATTTTTGCTGAAGTAAAGTTGAGAGTAAATGAGGGTAAGCAGCTGTGGTTAGAGTTCAGCATTATGACATTCCTGATTTATGTTGTTCTAGAAAAAACACAGATGAGCAGTTGCTACAGGGGCTTTGAAGTGCCTCTCCTTGGTCCACAGAGTTGCCCTTAGGTGTCTCAGGGAGGAATACATATACTGACACATCCACGTAGGAGGCACAGTAGTGCAGAGCAGCCAGTGCCCTTACTGCCAGGCCTCTAGAGTGGGCTGGATGCATTTCCACCTTGAAATACTTGTCCCCAGAGCACTTCCATACCCCATGCCCCCGTACTCTTTGTTACCACATCCAGACTCATGTTACTCACATCCAGAGATGAGACATAGGTATACATCATGCCCTTCCACCTCCTGGATTCCTCTAGAAGAAAGTTTGGGCATGTGTCTAGAGAGGGAGTCAGGTCACACTGCTGGCCAGGTTGATGGGATGTGCTGCAGGGTGTATTTGCCACTGTTTGGGTTTAGTCTAAGTCTGGCAATGAAAACTGGTCTACATCTGGCCTCCACAATACTAGTGTTGCACCTCTGCCTGTCCTCTAGCTTAGCTGTTTGGGATGCCCATGATTTCTGGGAAGGGCACGAGCCATTCTCTGGTATGAATAGCTGTTTCATTTCTCTTGGAAATGGAGGAGTCAACATATGCTTGACTCTCCATATTGCCAACTCAAAACATGACAATCATAAGCTAGACCCTAAAATTATTATAGGTGGTTTTATTCCATGAGTCTCTATAACACATATATTTATTCATGTTTTCAAGCTTTTCTCTGCAACTAGAAAAGCTGTAAACATTTTTTTGAAAATTAAACTGAAATTCATTGGCAGTTTTCAAATTTGGCAGTTGAAGCTGTGAAAAAAACACTGAAAGTCACAAGAATTGTAGTAAAACTTTAATTGCTGGTAACAGCATTTTTTGTACATTTAGTTTCTCCCTGCACTGAGTGTGCATCTTTGACAAAATACGATCAGAAAGGATAAAACCAGCTATTACTGAGCTGCTTCCTAACAGTCAACTAGATTACTAGATTCAGTAAGCTTCCTACACAAAGCTTTTCTGTGTTCTAGGGCATCTTGTAATGGTTTCATGAGGTGTGTATAAATATATAGGCATTTATGGAGCTGGATTACATTCTTGCAAAAGCACTGGCAAAATTCCCATGGAGTTTCAAGGGAACAGGATCAGCCCTTCTGTGTTTTAATAGTTTTCTGACTTCTTATTGGCTAAAGGACAAGCTACAGTAAGCAGACTTTCTGTGAAGTTTAGAGTAAAACATAGTTGGAGTCTAGCAAGCCTAGACACTTTAGTAGACTTCCTCACTTATTTGTCAGAAGATTCATGAAGTAGTTGCACTCATAAAAGAAGACATTTTTACTTTTTTTTTTTCTTTTCCACAGGACGGGGTGATATAATTGATCTATAGTAGAGTGAAATAGCATCATACTGGGGACAAATTTATTAGAATGGGCATGGTGACACTTTTTGGTCTCTGTTCCAGCATGGCACTCTGGTCCAGAATATCTCCTGCACCTGCCAGCTCTGTCATGATATTGTTTCTAGTGAAACAGGTAAGCTAATTTAATAATTAATAATAGAAGTATGAAAGTGGATTCCTATCACATAACATTTTAACTTTCACAAACAGTATGTTTGTTTCAAAAATAGTTCTGACATAACAATTCATGTTTATTAAAATTTAGTTATAAGAAATGCTGACTGAGAAGCTGTGGAGTCTTGTATTAGAGCTCACTCTGACTAGGTCATTTATTACAAATTTCTTCTATTAATGCTTGTTCATACAGTTAATAAATTGTGTTTACATGCATTTATACAGTCTTTTTTTATACCAATATTGATCAGTATTGAATTATATTTATTTTTCCATTTCCTACCAGATATCAATACTATTGTGAATCACGTTTATTTTCTGACTGTTTGTCCCCTGTTCTAAAAACAGATTTGCTTTGTTTCTAGCACTATCTTTTAGTCTTTGAGTTGTACGACGGGTGAGCATTGAGTCTTACATTTATGAAATCTACTGTTAGTGGTTTCATTCTGCACCTCAGCTTCTAGATGCTAGTAAATGTATATGCAATTTCTACTTTTATTTCTTGTAGAGATCTACTAAACTATTCACTTGTTTTTTTTTCCTAACTCTATTTAAAAATCTGAAAGCTTACTTCTTTCTCTATGTTGTGTTACAATTTAGAAAACCTTTAGGTATTTAATGACAAAATATCTCAGTGTAATTCACTTCAAGGAAATTTTCTCGTATGTGTTTAATTATTATTATTATTTGCCTATAAGAAAGCTACTAATCATGTAGTGATAGGAAAAAGGGGAATGGCCTTAAGCTGAAGGAGAGGAGATTTAGATTAGATATGAGGAAGAAATTCAGGTTGCCCAGAGAAGCTGTGGCTGCCCCTGTATCCCTGGCAGTGTTCAAGGCCAGGTTGGATGGGGCTTTGGGCAACCTGGGCTAGTGGAGGATGTCCCTGCCCATGGCAGGGGGTAGAACTAGGTGGGCTTTAAGGTCCCTTCCAACCCAAACCATTCTATGTTTCTATGATTTATTAATATCAGTCTTGATTTTGATTTTTTTTTTTAATACTAAGATGAAATACTAAGAAGTAGTAAATTTCAATTAATCTGAATAAAATTCATACATACATTTAGGGTACATTTCTATGAAATAAGTGTACATGAGAATAAGTGTAATTTACAGGCTTACTTCAAACTGAAAGTAATAAGGTATTTCTATCCACTTGTCCTCACTGTAGCTGGGTTACTAATAAAGTAACCCATGAGTTTGCATGAGCATATGCTGTAGAAATAGTAATTCTGTTCCTAGCTTTTTTATTAAGAAAATGTTACTGGGAGACACATATTCTGGTTTTGTTTTTTTAAATAGAAAATATGCCTAATGATTTTGTATGATTTAAATCAGGAGCTTCTCTGGCATAAATGAATGTAGAACTGAAACAACACTCAGGTTTGTGAGACACCTTAATTCTGTAGGACATCTTGACCAAAGCACTAGTTCCATCAAAGTTAACAGAAAATCTCCCAATTACTTCTGAGAGGTCAAAACTTTACAAGAATATAAGTCACAGTGAATTAATTTCTCACAGTGATTGCTGTAACTCATTTAAAGAAATATGTGATATATTTATTTATATTTTATTTAATAAGAAAGAAAAATTTAAAGAAATAACAATCATAAATCACTATATCCATATTTTCTAGCAAACAACTATATAAATATGAAAAATATCAATCAGAATAAACCAGGATCATGGCTGAAAGAATAAGTAAATATTTAAGTTCTTATTTCTAGTTTATACCTAAATTGAAGGGATTTTTCTGTCCATAATAGCATAGTCTGAATAAACAGAAACTTTTCATTTCACCATTAGCTTAGTATAAGAAATTAAAAGGGTGAAATCCTGATTATACTGTGGTCAGTTATGAAAAAAATAAATTGAAACCAGGCTGTTTGCAATCTTGGAGATTTATTATTATAATCCACTTTCTAAGTGAGAGGTTCAGGCAGTATTTTCTGCTGCACCCAACATATTTTTAAACAATGGTGTCATCTTGGTGTTGTTTGTGGACTCTGAGCAAACCAAATGGAATGAAAGACCCTTCCAGGGAAGTTTGATTAAATTTCAGTACGACTGAACTTTGATATAAGCGGAGACATGGGGCGGTTCATTTGCTATTAGCAAAACTTCAGATAGCCTGAAGTGAAGAAATGTCCAGTGTAGGGCAAAAGGTCACAGACTTTCTGAGTTTCTGTCCTGGACATTGGAGTTTAATTTCCTCTGTGTTGGAAGTCCCGTTTAAATGCTAGTAGCTGAAAATTAACTGAAACATAAAACTGAGATTAAAAGCCATGCTGAGCTGCATGTTGCCACTGCTTGAGATCATGGTAAATTTACCTGAAAGCTTGTATATCTACCACAGAGCATGCATTGTGTCTAAATTTTGATAGCACTGAGTAGCCCAAAACTTAGGTCATAATAAAACCTCACTGGGATCTGTAATCACAGACCCATGTCAGACGCAGAGAGCAATTTGTTGGTTCTTCTCAGAATATACCCACAGGACTGGGCCTGCTCCCACACATGCCAAAAGCAGGGGGAGCCCCCGTGATCTCAGCAGTGATTGCTGTGCTCCTCATGTTCACAGGCTGCAGACCTGCACCCCTCTCTGAAGAATAATAGTGACATGGATGTAAGATACAGAGGCAAGCCTGTCTCTCTGATTTTTTTTTTTTTTTTGTTGAATCTTTTTCACTTAGTTAAACAGACATACATCATCAAGGTATCCCACTTCCTTAATTTCCCCTTCCCTCTTAACACTAGTGCCTTATTCCCAGCCCACACAGTTTGCCTTCTCACTGAGCAATGAATAGCTCTCTAATGCATTTAATGCAGAAGGACATTAACAGGATGTCCCACCACAGAAAACACTGAAGTCTTCTGTCTGGGGCACCTGCATCGATCCCTTTCAAACCAAGAAGGGAAAGAAAGCTGATTTTCCTCGTTCCAAGGCACTGCCAGCATTCTTCAGCCTTTCTCTATACATATGTCCTTACAGATTTTCCCCAGAGAGAGTGAAGACCACTGCAGACTGAATAGTCACGTATGGACAGCAAGTTGCTTTTTTTAGCTGCTTTTGGTAGTCCCTGTGTAAGTAGCTGATGATCAGTTCAAAAGTTGCTGCCATTCAAGTCATCATGGTTTGCTGTTGAATATGTGTATCATTTCTTTGATAAGATAAATCTATGGGGATTTCTTAGTCTTTTAGTTTAATGATTAAGGCCACCACTTTTCTTACCACTTGTAAATCTATCACCATCTCTTTTGATGTATGACCATTAGAGTTCGTCATATTACCCAGGCAGAGTTGCACCAGGGACAAATACTACTCATTAATACTGTTTTGTACTCCTTTTCAATATCCTCCCTCATATGTACAACTCCAGAAATGTCAGTAGTCTCCTGTACTGCAACACTGTCTACAGGTGGCTCATGTCATTTCACTTCAACAAGTAAACATAAATTCTTACAAAATCCTGACATACATCCTTCAGTTGTGGCTTCTAGGAGTAAAATGTTGCATTAGATCTATGACAGCGCATGCTCTGCAGAGGGGTTCATGTTTCTCTGTGATCTAAATGGCCCTTATTAACTGGTCATTGTTTAATCCCCTGCTAATTTCCAATCATCTGCACAATTTTTGATTAATAATTTAAATTATTTTATATGTTCTTCTAGCTGTGTTTCAGATTAACTTTTGAGGTCAGCTGACAGGTCTTATTTTTTTTGTCAGGTGTAGCTCTGATTTTATAAAGCCTTGATTTGTTTTTTTCATCAGAAACTCTTATGGTAAAAAACCAAGCATCTCACAGATATTTATATCAATGGTGACCAGGTATTGGCTATCTGATTCTGCTTGCAGCTTTGCAGAAACTGACAATTACGTAAGGAAGTGATGTGAAACTGTCATTTATGTCTAAACTGCTCCTCATTCTTGTTGAGTGAGCTTCTTCATGACTGTATGTCCAGGAATGGAACCAAACAAGTAGCCAGGTAGCCACTGTGAGGCTTTCCTTGTATTTTCTTGGCTGTTTAATGCATTTGTTTATTAGAAACTGAAGTGTTATCCCTTAAATCAAGCACTCTTTTCTACAAATGCGTCATCTCCACGTCTTTGCCTCTTCAAATGAGGTTCACTGACCAGGGAGTGTCTGAAGAATCTTCCTTGGCTCCCAGCATTTTGAGGCCTACATGAGGGAAATGTCAAGATGGTTTTTATTTTGGAAACATGCATTCCTTTCTCATGGCTGCTGTAAATATTCTCTCCTTATCTTACAAGCCCATCAGAGGAAGGATAATTATAGTCTTTCTACTCCTTGGAATTTAAAGTAGGGTGTCTGGAAATGAGCTGAGAGACTAATAGCACAGTATTGAACAGGCAACATTTTACACAGCAAAAACATGCATGAAAGAGTGGTCTCATATAACAGGTAGCTAATAGTCCCCACTGTTCTTGTTTTAAAAGTAAATAAATAAGATTTTCTTTATTTTTCCAACAAACATAGGTTCAAAGAAAAAGATACAGGTGAAGTTCACAGCCATACATTGTCCTGGTTATTTGTCTCAGCCCTCGGCACGTCACAAAGCTCAGACAAGCTCAGGACAACCACCCATGTATGAAAGTCAGTTTCCAAAGAGGGTCTAGCCCAGGCAAAAGGAAATTGATTTTACCTGGAGAGCTGAAAAACATCCTTTGGTATAAGGATTGTTGCTTTTTAGAAAACTTATATTTAGTCTGCTTTCCAAAATTTGGTCGTTGCAATTGGTAATACTTTCAACCAGTAGTCAATTTTTCATTTTTGGTGACTTCTAGTGAGAGTGTTCTCTGACTACTTGCCTGCCACTGGCCTCTCAAAGCCCTGGTTTCAGGAACCAACTGGCATAATACACAGAGACTGCTTAGGCTGATGTTCTTCTTGTGGATAAATAATGATCAAGTCACCATGCTGATACGGATCAGTAAGCACTATCTAGCATTATCCTTTCTCTACTACTTTGCTCCTAATTGGGCATTTCTTCAATAGCCCAAATCTAACACAGCACCAAGCAATTTTGCATTTAACTCTTCTATTTTTAACCATTTCTTTCCTAAACAGTGATTATTAGCTCTGGCTTTCTTAAAGGCCTCTGTAGTCAGAGTGTTGTGTGATAAAGATGTGTCAGAAAGATGGATATTTATAGAGAGCAAGATAAAACATGACAGTCTCCTCAGGACAATTGCAACCTTTACATTGATAGGGTGTATGCCACAGATGTCTACCACACCCTAAACACATCAGTCACTATATATAAAATCATTATCAAAATCTGTCTATAGCTGAGAATTTTTAATTTTTTTTTTAATAGCAGAGCAGATTTGTATTAGGAGTAATTTTATCAGTGGAGACAAATTTAATTCTCCCCTCTGTGCTAGCAATTGTTGATCTACATCCCTGATCTCATTCTTTCATGCTAACATATAGGTCTCTTTCCTTTCTGCTTATTTGCTTCCCAGTGCCAAGGGAGTGACTCAAGGTCAGCATGTCCAAGCAGCGCTCCTAAGCCTCTTTTGGAGGTTAGAAGTGGTCTTTGAAGTGCTGGACAGGAGTACAGAATGCACTGGAGAAAAGGTGTTAGTAGCTAAATTCTATTGCTTATTCATTACTCTTTTATGCTATTTTTTACTGTACTACTCAACCAAGTGTGCTTGATTATCTTTCAAAATACACTAAAAATAAACAGCCCTCAAAATTATCATCAATCAGATTCTCAAATTAATCTAGCAGAATCATAAATACACAAGAAGTATTAACTGACCTTGGCATTAATTGACTATAAAAAGCCTGGAAAGACTATAAAATTTGTGAAGATAATCACCCATTTTCTACAGTGGAGGAATGAAATGCCAATGTTTTTGGTGCACTCTCACAGTTCCTAGCAACTAAATATGTGTGTGGATTTTTTAAAAGGGATTTGACACAAGTTGAATAAATTTCTGGGGTAATATAGCACCACAGCAATACATTTCTTGCTCAGGCAAAGACAGCAACTGAAGAAATTTCACTAATAGTTTCCTGGAGAAGGAAGGGGTCTGTCTTTATCTCCCTGTTTACCTACTGTTCCTCCATTCATCTCTCCTTTCCTCTCTCCTCTCCTCTCCTCTCCTCTTAAATTTCTTATGAAGGGAAGAAACTTGCCACTAAAAGACCACAAGGTTCTAACTGATGTTCCTCATATTCAGTATTTTCACTCACAGGCCAAAGGATCTCTGCTGGAAAAAACCACTACTGGATGGAACAAATATAAACAAGAATGCTTGAAAATGCTGCAGGAATCAACTGTAGATACTGGTAAGGAAACAAACAGCACAATAAAACAACATGTTATGTTATGTTGATGAATATGGAAATATTCTTTTACTTGCTTTGCAGAAGTGTGCTTCTGTTTTTATAAATTCTAAATGTAGAACAATCAGCTGTAACGAGACATGCAGACATGCAATCATAAAGTTAATGGCTCTCTTTGTCCTGAAACATATTAGGTTCCCATATGTAAAACCAGATCATATACAAAAATGAAGCACTGGACAGCTGATGCTTAGCTACCACTATGGTGCAGCACTGATTGCCTGGTCAAGAGATAGCTGCTATCCACCATTGGTAAGAACCATGTCATTTGGATGAAGGAGACCAGTTTTCACTTCCCTTTTCAGCCTGAAGGAAGTCAAACCCGTATTCCTGGAAATAGAATAGAATATAATAGAATCTTTAAGGTTAGAAAAGACCACTAAGATCATCAAGTCCAACCAAATTATGCTAACCACAGGAGAACAGACTATCCAGGGAAAAGACGCCTCCCATTTCTGTACTTTAGAAACTGAGCCATGGCAGGCCAAAGCCCAATGCACTTGTGATACAGCCATTAGGTTAATAAGCTAAGGCACTGAGACCAGGTTGGCCCATGTTCACCTGGCACTTACAACCATTAGCTTGAAGTCCCTTATTTATTCTTCTGCCTCCATGGCTTTTGGATTCTTGCCCGAAGAGCAGCATAGCTTCAGAAGACAGTGTCTTCTGAAAAGTGGCAGAGGAGGAACTGAGTCCACACCTCCTACCTCCAGCTGAGCGCTTTAATTTTGATGTTGTTTGGCAAAAGGGGAGTTTATAATCTGGGATTATTTCACTCTTAAAAGTATTAACTCTGCTCAGCTAGATGTCTGTCTTTAGGAAAGGATGACACAGGCTTGGTTTGAGCAGTTGGAGAAGTTTAAGCAGTTTAAGCAGAGAGGTGACTGCAGTCACCGAGGAAACACAGTGGAACTTTGTAACTGTGCTCTATGTTTTGTACTCACTGGCAGATCTTTGCTCCTGTGTGCAAGAGAAACACTCATGATCGTCTTGCTTAGTGGCTATCTCACCCCATCAGCTGCACAGGGACATTCCAGGATGGTATTATGAGCTCTGACTCACTTTGCTGGTGGCAGAAAGCTGCATTTATGACACTATAATGTGCAACTTTGTTGGCCAGAACGTATGGTCTGATTAAGATCAATGTGTGTATTTTTGATCATTTAGAAGTTGGAAATCAATCCAAAGCATTGGCCTGGGAATTTAAAACAGGAGGGGAAAAAAAAAAAAAAGAGAGAGAGAGGTTTTCAAGCCTAAATTAAGTAATATTTTATGTTTTAAAGTTCCTTAAACTTTTCCCAAAATACTGAAATCCCTAAAATTCGCAGGCCTTTCAAAAGCAAAAGGGAAGATACACCCTGTGAGTCACGGAAATTATTTTTAGTGATCACATTCAGTCACGGGCTTTCTGTCCTTTTAAATGAATTCCGAATTGCTGAAAATGAGCAGTTCTACTTCGGTATGGCAGCATGCTAAATGAATGAATCCTCATGCTCTCCAGCCTTCATCACTGACCTGCTCCAGAGGCAGCTGCAGCTCCTGGCCGCTGCAACAGCATGAGCTAATTGACTTAGATAACACTGTGAAGCTGTAACAGCTGGGGAAACAAAGCAAGACTCCATTCTCATTACTGACCCCTATCTCCATCAAGAACTTAGTGCAGCTTTCATAGTATACGTGGGGCAGGATATGCCCACTCATTCTTCCTGAGCTTTTGGGTGTGCTTAAAAGCAAAAAGAAAAAACCATGCCAGCTATGCAAAGGCATCCAAATACCCATCAGGGACTACCATTCCAGTGCTTGCAGAGATGCAGTCAAAAACTAAGGCTCATCTAGAACTGAAATTGTGCAAAGATGTCAAGAATAACATATATGAGTAGATGCAAAGAGAAGACATAGGCTCCTAGAAACTTTTACTAACCAAATGAAGCAGGTGATTGGGAAAAGCCACACGGATTTATCAAAAGCGAATCATGCCTGGCTAACCTAGCATTACTTTCTACAACAAGGTAACATCTGCTGTCGACTCAGGGAGAGCAGTAGATGTTTTTTACCTGGACTTCAGCAAAGCATTTGACACTGTTTCCCACAGCCTTCTCCTGGACAAGCTGGCAAGGTACAGATTGAAAGGAGGGTTGCGAGATGGGTAGCAAACTAGCTAACAGGCCACACTCAAACAGTTGTGAAAAATGCTTTTTGACTCAGGCTGGCAGTCTGTCACAAGTGGGGTCCCCCAGGGATCAATACTGGGCCCCACCCTGTACAAAATCTTCATAAATGATCTGGGCACAATAGCATTGAAAGCACCCTCACCAACTTTGCTGATGACGCCAAACTGGGTGGTGAGGTGGACATGTCAGAAGGCAGAGCCATCATACAGACAGACCTGGACAGGCTGGAAGAGTGGGCTAGCAATAACTGTATGATGTACAACAAAGACATAATGAAAGAGCCCAGGACAGGCTAGGATGTGTGTAACTGGTGAGCAGCCTTGCTGAAAGGGACTTGGGGGTCCTGGTGGATAACAAGCTAAACATAAGTAAGCAGCACACCACTGCAGGAGCAAAGGGAAATCAGATCCTGGGCTGCATCTGAAGGGGCATTGCTAGCAGAGATAGAGAAGTGATCATCCCACTCAGTGCCTGTCAGGCCACATGTGGAGTACTGTGCCCAGTTCTGGTCCCCAGAATTCAAGATGTGGACGGACTGGAGAGGGTTCAAAGGAGGGCCATGGAGATGATCAAAGGGCTGGAGAACTTGCCCTGTGAGGAAAGACTGAAGGAGTTAGGTCTTTTCACCTGGAGAACAGAAAGTGCAGGAGGGACCTCAATGAAGTAAAAGGCAGCTACAAAGAGGATGGAGGATCTCTCTTCACAAAGAGCTACATGGAGAGGACAAGGGGCAACAAATTGTATTGGGAGAGGGTTCACCTTTATATAAGAAAAACATCTTTCACTGTGAGAATGATCATTCACTGTAACAACCTTCCCAGGGATGTAGTGGAGTCCCCATCACTGGAGATTTTCAAGATGGAATTGAACAGGGTGCTAGATAATTTCATCTAGCAAATTGACAGATTGGATCCGATGATTTTCTAATGTCCCTTCCAACCTGGGCTGTTCTATGATTCTATGGTATTTCAGGAAAGCATGCCACTGGGCCACTAGTGGTGCTGAAAGAGATGGGATAACCCTTGTCCAAGTTGACCCACTATGTACCCAGCAGTGACAGCTAGGGGAAAATAGGAGTTCCAGTCCTAGTTATCCGTGATGTCTATGTATTTTTTATGGGCAGGCACTGGATGAAAACAGAAGTAATCTGGGGTGTGTAACTTGTGCTTTCTACTCTCTGGGGACATTGAGGTTTTGGATTCAGCTTCCACCAACTTAAAAGAGGGTAATAAAGATTATATGAATAATGTCCTGGAGTATTCTTCTAGCCATTACTATGCAAAAGGGGAAAACCATCAATAATATTTAAAGCCAATTCTGCCAGTATGCATTTCCATGCTGAGAACTTAGAATCTGGTAATCTCCGTAGTTTAGGGACTTGCATGATGGCACATAATTTCTCTGTACTAAGCAGTTCAAAGCAGGAAAACCAGGCGGTTACCTCTGTCAAAACTGTTATGCTTCTAGTACAACAGAGTGTCAATTTGAGCACCTAATGAAATGTCTGCCAGCAGCGTCATGCCTCTGAGCTGTCTCAGGTCCCCCTAAAACTCAGGTAGGCAGGTTTTGGATTCCAATAAAATCCACCTTCTAGGAAGTCTGATCATCCCTAGGCATGTGCTTCCTAGTAGTAGGACCCAAGTACCAAGAAGAGTATGATCTCACTCCCAGAGTTTTGCTTTTGTTGTCCTTTGACACTTTGAAAACCCCTCCCTTCTCCCTTCCCTTTCCTTCCCTCATCTCCTCTCCTCCTCCTCTCTTCCCCCCTCCCCACCCCTCCCCTCTCCTGCAATAAATTAGAAACTATGTGACTACACTCAGAGAGGCAAGAAGGCAAAGCGATGAGGATTGCAGAGGGGACAAAAGTTTTTCTGGAAAGCGAGGGAAGCAAAGCACAGATCAGCCCAGCCAGCATATCTGCAGGATAGCTTACAACTAAATCTGGTAAGAAAGAAACAGTAGTGAGAAGCTAGAGATCAATGACCTATGGCAAAAACCTGGTATGCAGAAACCCTTAGCATGATGCAAAAGGAGAGTGTATCATGGCGGGAAGGCAGAGAATGGTGGTTTTTAGTGGCAATTAGATGACCCAGAAGGCCAAAAGCATTGACACAGGGCAAGATATTAGAGGGCACTCTTTTGTGATCAGTAGAACCATAGGGACTCAGAACTCCAGTTTTCATGAAATGGAGAAAAATCTATTTTTCTCCTGGCAGCTTACTCAATTCACACTTGAACAATGACTACATGGATCATAAGGCAGATGGGGCCACAGACGTTCAGCCTCAAAGGTACAAGGTAATTATTTAGAATGCACATACTGTGCTCTGTATTTTAGCAGAAGCACCCCAAAAAGATGCTGATGAGACAGCATACAGCTATCTTTGTTGCTCCCTGTATTTTTTTTCCCACACAAGTCTCTCAAAGTGGACAACAAGGACGATATACTCTTCTGGCTTTGGATGGACAAAAGCATGAAATTTAAGAGAGAACTTCATCTTATCCTAGAAGACAGACAGAAACTAACCAAGAGACTAGAACAACCATTAAGGCATTTTATTTTATCTTACTGTAACCTGATTGCACCATTTCAATTCGGCATTATCAAATGTTTTATCTTAGCCTTAAGTCCTGTGAGTGTTGCGATACCTGTAAAGCTTAAAACTGAGTTAGTCTGAGATATTACCAGCTCCCTAACCTCTATTGCCAAAAGACTAAGAGCAATCACTATCCGAGAAGCTGGCAGTGGTCTGAGCTGAGAACCAGTGTCACAGGCGTCATGAAAGGTGGCATATCTTCCATTTACCAGCAAAAAGTCTGCGGCATGTACCAAAACCAGTGAGTGAGAGCAGGGCTGGAATCTGTCTGTTACATTTGAACAATAGGGGCTTTCAGGATGATTTTGAGCAATACACTTATCTCATAATGAAGCATGTAAAACCTGCTGCTGTTTTGTAGATCCAGGGAAGAAGAGTTACAGACATTTCTGCACTGTGCACTGACCATTGCACAGTGAATGCACGACGTTTATCTGCTACGCCTTGTAAATACTCTGAAGTAGCTGGCAGGTTATGTGGAACAGTATACAATGGTTTACATGATTGTCCATTATCTGAACAACTTTTTGTAAAAGTTCTTTTTGCTTCTCTCCCCAGGAATACATTGTAATGGGACATTTGATCAGTTTGTTTGCTGGCCTTACTCACCCCCAGGAAATGTCTCTGTTCCTTGTCCTTCATATTTGCCGTGGTCGAAAAATGGTAATGTGAAAGTAGTAACTTCTCTTTGAGTTTATGCTGGGAATCCAGCTAATGGACAGGTGGTGCTGGTCTCCCTTGTCCTGGAGTCCTTTGAAGTGTCTGAGGGTTTTCTTGTCTCACCTCTTTTTGCCTCTTTTCTGAATTGAGGCACAAAATTGTTGATGATGTTTAATTATTTACCCTTTTTCTCCATCTGTGCTTGTTAGCTATAAAGCAACATTTCCAAGATCGTGTAACTGTACTGCCAGGCCTTTATTGGCAGTAACAGGCTTGGGGTTCAGTTTCTGAGGTTCAACTTCTGGGGTCCCTACTAACCCCGGACATGACACTGTCTCTCAGAAAACTGGAATAGCCAAGCAAAGTAGCGGTCCGAGTGGTCAGCCCTCCAGTAGGACATACCGCACCACCAGCAAGTAATGTGCATGGTGAACAAACAAGCTTTCCAAGCAGCCTTTTCCTGTAGGGAGTGGAGCAGGGAGGCTCTCAGAAAGGGAAAAAGTATAACATCTGCAGGAGCAAAACTGTTTAAAAGCAATCAACATTCCCTTTCTCCTAAAGAAATGAAAGAACATTCCTACTTCTGAAGCCCCACATTTCTGAATCCTACTACACAGCCTTTCTTAGCTACATGTGGCTTTCTTAGCTGCATTTCTAATGTCACTTGGAAGGACCAATTGTGTCTGAGTCCTTTAGTTTATGGGAGACTACTATGGGCTCCTTATCCTAGATTCTTCCAGCCCACCCCACACATGGTTTGTTCTGTAATATCATCATTCGTCCTTTTTTGTGCTGCTAAACAGAAAAAGACCCACCCTCTATCTAGTCTCCCAAACAACTGCTTTTGCCAACCATTTAGAACAAGTTCAACTCTTCATAATAAACCTATAAGCATCTTCCCTCCCTCCATGTAATGGAGACTTTTTTTTTTTTTCTGTCTAAATGTCTGCAAGAGCAAGGTGTAAGACATTACACCAGATTATGGAGCTTTTAATTGTCTTCACAGTGAGGAACACAGTGGGGTATTCTCATCCCTACCACAGCACCTTAGAAGAAGAGGCATTAGCGATAGCCCAGCTGTCTGTCCTAGCAATTCTGTGGGACTGGGGTTAGGGTTGCTTGTCATCCCCATTTCCATTGCTGGTCCCATTTCTGAGGCATAGCTGTGTCTGCTCCGGGACACTGATGGACTTGGACCAGAAACGCTTGGAACCTTGTAGTAAATTTATTGTGGTTGTCATCACTGTCAAGCCTGAGCACTGAAAAATTAGGATAGCCTGGAAATAAGATTCCTGATCACATTTCATACATGCCTTCCAATTTTTTTCAGTGTCTAGTCTCCACACAGAGCTCCTGTTCCATCACAGCAAACTGTCCTCCCAAAGCAGTTCTCTCAGTTCCGGTTGTTTTGAGTGAAACTAGATAGTCTGGTTGTTGCTGCAACCCTTGAACAGTTTCTAATTAAAAATGCATGAAAAAGTTCAGCTAATTTTCTGATTAGAAATAAATGGAAGGCAGCTGTTGAAGACAACATCAAACGAACATCAACCACAGTCCCCATACTATTCTTTTGATGTTATGGGCAAATTCTTAATTAATATAAACTAGGACATGCAGTGAAAGCCAAGAAAGCTTCACTGGTTCACACCACCTGCTGATCAGGCCCAAAGCCACATAAATAAAACACCAGCCACAGATGTTTCAGCGAAAGATCATTCCCTCATCAAACCATACTCTTCCTCCTACAGTTTTAACTGCACCATCTGGGCAATGTGCTAGCCATACTTGATGGAACTTATGAGCTTAATGAGGAAAAAGGGCTAAAGTGAGATGTAGGCTTGTCTTTTGGATGTAGTAATTATGTATTTTTTTTAAATACCAGGTACATTCTGGGAATTTATTTCTGCTAGATTACATTCGTACTTTGTCCTATGTAAATATGAAAAATATATTGTTAAAGACGAAAGAAAATTGGTTTTTATTCCTTTTTTGAGTGCGGGCGGGGTGGTGTTTATTGCTGTGGTTTAAGGGAGGAATCTTTAAAATATGTGTGAAAAATGAAATCTTTATTTTGATCTTTCAGACTAAACCTCTGTTTACTTTCAGGAAGTGTAGGAAATGTGTACAGAGTCTGCTTGGATGAAGGGACTTGGCAAACGAAGGAAAACTCCACAGACATTTGGCGTGATAGTTCAGAATGTTCTGAGAAAAATAATTTAAAAAAAAATGTAAGTATGTTTTATATTATGGTTTAATACTTTAATCTTCTTAATCCCTTCTTGAGTAACTGATAAAACATTTCCATTGAATACCTGCAAAAGATGTTCAGATTTCATTTAGATTACCAAATGGAAAACTGTTATTTTATTTAGAAGGAGTGGAGGAGGAAAGATTAAGGCGGGGGATTTCTACTTTAGATGCCACAAATTATTTTCTGTTCAGAGTCCAATGTTCACATGTGCTGAATTGCTCCAAATAAAATTGAACAAGACTGCAACTTGACAAAATTAAAGTATCCCATCCTCTACCCAAAATCGCTGTAGTCTGCCAAGGCCAGAAAACTTCATGCCCTGCCACTTCCTGAACCTTTTAGCATTTAATGAGCTGCTAACTGGTTCTTTCAAATTTAGCTAGTCACAGTGTGGAGGATTCATAATGCAAATGCCATCCTTCTGGGTCTGATAAGAGCATACAGTCCAAACGTTGGGCTTTGTCAACAGGGGAAAATGGCTCTCCCGAGCTGCATAAAGAGCAAACTGGATATTGTCACCTCAACATCTCTCAGCTCTTTGTGCTGAAGATAGTAAAAACAATTACAGATCAGCTCTGTTTGTGAAGCCAGGGATCGCACTCTTGCTCTGTATCTGCAAAGAAGCTCGTGTTCTCTGTGAGAAGGCAATTTGCTCAAGCTCACTTCCACCACCCAAGTTAGGCTTAAGGTAAAGGACAGGGATCTGATCCTGTTGCCTGCTTGCACAACTGAGCAATGACTTACAATGAATGCAGCAGAGTTTCAGATAACAGTAAGGCATGCAGCTTATCTGCTTTCAGCTTCTTGTACCTTCTTTTGCCATAGAATTCAGCTTAGCTGCTGACAAAATAAAATCTCTTAGGTAAGCACTATTACTGTTGATTATTTTCTACTTTTTAGTACCTTATTGGGAGAGCACTGTTACTGTATATTACTTTATTGAGTAACATTACTTTATTGATTACTTTATTAAACACTATTAGTTCAGGATCTCCATGTACTACTAAGTTTTTACTAAACTCTTTATATAGTGAGTACATGAACTTCCAAACTTACAGTTTATTTATACAAGTGTGATAAATATTCATAAGTACTGAGAGTTTTCCATGGTTTGTTGATCATTCTGGATCACAAACTTGTGGGTGAGAGACACATTAATTCATCTTGTGTGACAGCAGACGATGTCTCTGAAAGCTTTAACTGGTTTTCCTACTGACACTAAATGTGGTTCTGTACCTGTTTGTTATATTTAGTGGAAAGCCCCAAGATGTTAGGAGTAACCCAGAGCTAGTAGCCACACACACTGGAGGAATCAGCTTGATTTCATTTGCTTTGATGTTACAAAATCATCACAGTCAAGATGATAACTCATACTTTTTATTACCTTTGTGCCTGTTCGAATGCTTTCATGGAGCAGAGTGACTCATGGCTGTGCAATGGCAATCTCCTGCACACACCGTGCTCTCCCTGAGCACTTTCATCCTCTCCAAAAGAGTTTCTAGCAGCAGGCACAGCTCACCCGTGCTATCCAGACAGCAATCACTAGCATAAATTGTTTAGAGACAACTACTGGCAGGAAGACAGTGCTAAAATCCGTGGCGCTGAGCATTAAAACAATTCACAAAACCAGCAAAATCACTGAGGAAAAGACACAGGTTCCAAGAAAATCTTTGCAGGCCAAACATGGATTATGAAAGCGAGATATCCTGTATCACTACATCCTCCCTGCAGAGAAGCTATATGAAGAGATGGGAAGTAGACATAAGCACCTAAATGGAAAATAATTAGCCAGAAGAAATATTAAATGAAACAAAGTGGAAAGAAAGCGTGAGTGCCCCCCTTCCTCTTCTGAGGTCTTATTCATCAAAGACATTCAACACAACTCTAATTTCATAATTCTGGGTTTTTTCTTTGAATTCATGGGAAAAGTCAGTCTATTTCAATGATTCTAGATTCTTAAAATTGTACAGACACAAGTGATCTGTAGCTGTGTCCCCAGACCATACACATAGTAATTGCACTTGTGTGTACGGGTCGAGTGAAAACCAACAGGATCTATTTGGTGCATGTAACCATGGCAATGACTAGCTGTAAATCAGACTACCAATGGTGTTTGTGCAGGCACAATTTGGAAATGAGACCCTGAGTGCCATCGAATTTAGAAAGGCACCCAGGCTATCTGCAAGTCTCTCTGTCACGGAATGATTTCCTGAAGCAGTGCAGGAAGCATGCATGAGAAACCTTCCCTTGCTGCCTTGCAACTCAAAGGACTTCAACTCAAAAATTCATGCTCTGCCCACCTGCCTGCATGTGTAACACATTTTTCTTCTTTGTTCCTAGGAAGAAGAACATAAATTGCTTACCACATTACAGCTCTGGTACACTATAGGATATTATTTTTCTCTCATCTCACTTGTATTAGCTCTCCTCATACTTTCTTCACTCAGGTTAGTACAAATTTGCACGCAATTTAGAAGTACAGACCCTGATATGCACATTCTTCTTTTCATGTAATTGAATTTATTGCTTGGCTATGTAAATAACTGGTATTTTCCTAATAAGCATTATAAAGGCAATTCCTAAGCAAAATCCATTTATGGCAACAATATGAATACAACACTATTTTTGTAATTTCTGCAAATTAAACATATTCCAGAGGATTCATACATTCTTTTTTCTCCCACAGAAAACTTCACTGCACAAGAAACTACATCCATATGAATTTATTTGCATCTTTTATCTTGCGTGCCACAGCAGTTCTTATAAAAGACACTGTATACTACAATATTTACTCCAAAAGACCAAATGATGAAACTGGATGGATATTATACCTCAGTCCTGAGGTAACTTGTTAGTTCATTGCTAATAGTAAATGTGTGCTGCTAGTGGCTGTGACAGTTACAGTTTCAGAAGTTTGCCGTATGGCAGAAAGTTTTGAGGTGTTTGTTAGCTGAACTTTGAATCCTGAAATTTTGCTGATAAAACTTGGGATAATCAATAAAAAAATTGTGATTTGGTAAATTGCAATAGATTTATTTTATATGAAGCCTCGTATAGAAACAACAAATTAATCAATAGTGATACTGAGAAACATACAGTTAAGCAAAACAACTTACACCTGTAATGTTTAGGAAGAAATCTGCACATGTATTCAGCACTTATATAACACTATATTTATTCACTCTTAGTACGCATAGCACAGTGCAATGCACACAAATCTTGCTTTTAAGACAATGTTATCAAACAATGTATTTCCTGTGAAAGAATACTAAGAGAGAAAAAAATAGCTTAAAGACTTTTCTGTACTAGGAATATGTGGTAATTTTCTTACACTTGTTTATATAATGGAATAGCAACTTCTCTCCTTTATGACCACTGTGGATAAATTATACTTGTATGATATTGTCTGAATATAGTTTGCTAATGTCAACCAGCAAAATTACCTGCAAGATATTAATGGTGACTATTATTTTAATAGCTCATCAGTGAAAATTCTGATATGCAGATCATGACAAAGAACACATGCCCCATCCTACACTGTCACTGTCTTTTCCTACTTGGCACCTCCACTCCAACTTTATGACAATGTAGAAGCCTTTAAATTGTTGCACTCCCCTCCAGCCTCTCCCAAGCAGCAAGGAGACTCCTGTGAGATATGTGACAGAATCACAGTTGTATCACAACCATGCGCTAGTTTTAAAACAGTTGCTAAACAAAAAAACAGGATTTGTCAGAGGTTTTATATATTAACAATGATTCCCGGTCTCTCATTTCTACAGATTGTAGTCATTTGCAGGACTGCCCAGTTTTTCATGCATTACTTTGTTGGGGCAAATTATTTTTGGCTATTAGTAGAAGGAATTTATCTGCATACGTTATTGATAACTGTTGTACTTTCTGAAAGACGACTGCTACAGACATATATTGTGATAGGATGGGGTAAGTACATTACATAACAAATTCCAAGCTCTTGATTCTGCGGTACATTTTTGAGTCAGTGGTGGATACTTTGTAATGTAAAAACACAAAATTGGAACTCTTGTTTGTTTGTTTGTTTCTTTGTTTGTTGTTTTTTCTTTGTTTGTTTTGAAGTCATTGGTTTTCAGCATAGATATACCAGTAGTGATAAACTCCTTGCAGTCCAGCTTGACCTGCACATACAGGAAATGTGTGAATTGTTTCATAAGAAAACAGTAGCCTAGTGGAAAGAACAAGAAAAAATTTGAGTAGATTTGGCTGTATTTTCTGTCATCAACGAATATTATGGTACTATCAGCAACTTCATTTTCTTCCTTCATAATAGAGCACATAGATAGCAAAGATGTCTAAACAATTTTCTTTTATATGTTCACCTTTCGAGCTCACCTTAAAGTTCTAAAGTGTGCTTTAGGTTAGAGGACAATCTGAAATACTGCATGATTCAGGTCTTATATTTCAGGTATTCTTCATGTAATAAAGACAATGTAAAGTTAGTTACCAGCATTTGAACAATTTTGTGTAAATTATGTTGTGTAATCTGACAGCTACGTTTGTATTCTGTATCTTGCCTGGTCAAAGGAGAAAATGAAGGTTTCCCAATTTTCAATAATCATCTAAAATCTATCTGTACAACTTGCAGGCCTTTGAAGGTTTTAAATAAAGATGAAAAATGTACTCTTAGACAATATGTAGGCTTGTTGCAAGAGTTATTGATTCAAATCCAGTGGCCTGAGATAAGGAGGAGGATAGGATGGATAGCCATAAGAACTTTTAATTGTAAAACTTTTATCAATGTATAGTTTTACAAGCTGGTTCACCATCACCACGTCTATGTCTATTGAACTACATTGTCAAATGTAAAATTGTGTATCCAGGAGTGTGGGACTATAGTTTATAGTCCACTTAAGAAAAAGTAATTTTTAGAAAGATTTGATTGTGGTAGATGATTATGTAGTTGTAAATAAATTATTCCATATTTGCTGTGCTGTACTGCATGCTAAAATTATCTACCAAGGATAAAGAGGTATGATTTTAATGAGGTGTTTGAACTCAAATATAAATAGCTGAAGCAAATGGCAGCAAAGATAGAAATTACAGTCCTTACAGTTAGAATGCTACAACATTTGCCTGTTTAAAGGAAATTTTTTGTTATTGTTATCAAGGCTGTAGGAAACTCCCTGTCAGTTTGACAGTAATTCATGTCATTCCGTTTTACTTGTCTGAAAGTCGTACTGGGCTCTGTCTGTACCAATCACAGGGAAAGAAGACAGTTCACTTTGGCATCTACCTTACCTCTCGAATTTTGAAATGAGAATTGGATAGCATCTAAAAAAATAGCCTACTGGAGGAATTCCTAGAATTAAGTGAATTTCAGATAAGGCCATTTTCATGCTTTTCTAATATGAATGTATTAATTTATTAACAAAGAACCATTGCTGAGAAAAATGCCAATGCTTAAAGCCAGACAGAATCACAGAATTACAGAATGGTTTGAGTTGGAAAGGACCTTAGAGATCTTCTAGTTTCAACCCCCCCTGCCATGGGCAGGGACACCCTCCACTAGACCAGGTTCCTCAAAGCCTCATCCAACCTGGTCTGATCCAAAGCAGGACTTCAGCATCTAAAATAACACACAGGGGGAAACCTGAGCAAAAAAGTTTTGAAAGCATGATATAACCCCCTGTTTTCCCTGAATTATCTAGCCTGAAGCAATAAAGATCCATTAAAGAACCCAGAAACCTTAACTCTCTTTTATAGAAATAGCTTGTCTTTACTATTACTGACAAAATTAAAAGATATCTGGCTTTTGTCTCTCATAGCATTTTTACCAGGTTTTGAATATGCATGAAATAGTATTGTATGCATTGTTCTGAATATGTCAGTACAACAGATTGTTTCACTAAAAGTGCATTGCATAATCTTGTTATCAATAAAAAAGTAGTCAGACCCAGTAATTTTGGCAGTGGCACATTTAATTTTGGAGTATTCAATCAGTTAGTTACAAGTGAATGTACAATTCATAGATGACATTGTGCCAATTCTTTTTCCTTTCATTAACATTAAGAACACCTGTGCTCTTTTAATCCTGTTTTATAATTTTAAATCCAAAATAAAATGTTATTTATCTTCCTGTAACAACAGAGGAACTCTAAGAGACTGCTCAGCACCTCACACCTCTTAGTTCTTTAAAGACCAGATAATACTACCATATCTCCAGAAGTTAAGAAATTCAGGTTGTTTTAGTCTAGGCTTGTGAGAAACTGAGGAGTTTTGACGCCCTGATGATAAATGCAGAGCAGAGCCTTCACTACTGACAATAATTTAATAACATGGAAAGAGCTGAGAGTACAGAACAAGGATTAAACAGAGATGTTTGCAATGGGAACACACGCTTTCAGAAATCAGTCCATGCACACAAAGCAAGTGCTGTAGCCTTGAGAAAGTTTCATTTCTCATGTATAAAACAAAAAGGTTGATCTACTGTTTAAATCAAACTATTTCATGTACAGTATAACCTGACATTTTGACATCAGATCAGAAAGGAGCTTCAGGAAAAATTGCATTTAATTGAGGAAGCATGTACAATGGGGAAAGGCATGTTTGATTGCATACTTGGAAAAAAAGTTATTTTTTTTCACACGTGAAACAGAAGTATTGATTTTCAAGTTAAGTTGAAGTTTAACTTCAGCAAGTTAACTTTGTAAACGATGATGTGATGGAAATCAGTATTTAATACCTTTGAAGAAGTGATAAGGAAAGCCTAAACAAACTAGTCATTGATCATTTGGAACACGGTACCTCAAAGTCAATACTAGATACTCAAATGCAGTTCTTCAGGTTCCAAGATAGATATGAAATTCCACATACGAAATCTTTTTTCACCAAATCCACTCACTCATTTAAGCTGAGAAGGATATGTATATATTTTTCATCCTCATGCTGTCTCTCAACCTCTATCACTTCTCTGCTCCCCCAGTATGATTTATGCAGTATTTACTGAGTGCTCTGAGTGGTGTTTTCGTATCAGACTTCCTATGGGTTCTTAGAATCCGGTAATGCTTAAATCTTCAGTTTAGTTTACCTAATGGAGGAGGGGATCCATTTTATCTAACCTTTATCTAGGTCAAAATCAGGGAACCAATATCAAGACTCTCTCTAGAACCAAAGAAAGAGGGCAAGTACCTTTGAAGAGTGAATTATTTCAATGTTTAAAAGTGGGATATTATCTTAATCCTTTCATACATATCTAGATATAGTCATATTGAAACTCATCTTATTTCCTACAGCATCCTTTTCTCTGGCCTTACCTGTATTTATCCACTATGCTGCTGAGAAAACTATTTTTCAGGCTTGCAGTTTTGAACATGCTATCCCACCTTTGGCATCCCTCCTTTTCCTTTTGCTTCTTCCTCATCAGACTAACTACTTTCCTTCACTTTCACACACATTCCCATCCTTCCTCATCTATTAAAAGTTTCTGTCAAAGCATAACACCACACTTCATTGTCCATCGCCAAGCCTCTGGGATTTCTCCTCTGATGCACCTTACACTTTAAAGGGTCCTTCTCACCATCCATGCCTTGATTTCTCTGTTGCTTCTCACATTTCTCTTTAAAGATCCCTTGTGCTAGATTAATATGGCAGTATTAGCATACAAGCTGCTGACACACCAAGACCACTGTTTTCATGCTAGTTAGTGTTGTCTCATTGCTTCCTCACTCTTCCCACCTCTCTAAATCCATTTGTTGCTTTGAACACCAGCTCATTGAAACAGGGACTAATCATTTTCTTTATTGTTCAAACTGCAATAGGACAAATCTGTTAAGAAATTTGCTCACTAGCGTTAAGAGTATAAATAATAATGATCATCTCCCTGTCGGTCCCTTGCCATTGCTCTCATACCTGTATCATAGTCACTGATTTCCCAAAGCCCTTTTCCCACTAATTAGCTTAATTTGTTATTTATATTTATTAGAGTTACTGCTAAGATGGGACATCTGGCACCTCTCTTAGAGACATTTGTAGTACTGCTGCTGCTGAGCCATGCTTGCACCTACTGAGACACAACTACCCCAGCTACCGCCCAGGAACTGCACTAGATAACATCATCTCATCCTCCTGGGTATCATGTTTCCCCACAGGACAACCTCATATTCCCATGGACATGTAGCACCCTTCCCAAGTGGTGCATGCCCTGATTGTTCTCTCAGACCCGCTTGTTGCACCAATGCCATCTCCCAACCAAGTGACAACCTTTCTATCTCTTTCTCCATTTTACCTACTCAGAGGTCTATTATCTCTGAGAGTATTTTTCTTCTGGCCCTTTCCCTCTATTGACACACTCCAGCTCTCCCCATGATCTTAGCTAGTGTCCCAGAATCCTGAATAGATCCTTTTCTGGTCCCAGTGACCCACATCTCCTTTCCTTTCTTCCACACCCACCAGAAAATCTGTGTGTTGTAGGGCTGAGAATCCAGTTAAACACCTGCCTTTTGTAGTTCGTGTGCCTTGTGCTTATGATTGAAGCTTGTGCCTGCACATTTGTAGACCACTGAAATAGCAGTAATCTTTATTTCAGGGTTTTTTTTCAGTCTGCAGTCTATTATCTCCAGGAGAGGGTGCAAAAACAGGGGAATGGGGACCACTGATTATCTTTAAGGGGTCCAGGAGAGGTAAGCCAGGAACACAAGCTTTTGTCAGTTGTTTTAATTAACTGGACAGAGTTCCATGCCCCCACTGAAAATTTTTTAAGGTTCAACAAATAAAAATGTCAATAACTGGTGCCTTAGGTAGTCTGTGAGGCCTCAAGTACCAATTATTTTGAATTCTCAGAATCAGGAATTTGGAAGATTTGGACAGGTTAGCAGTGTGTGCGTGTATATATATGTATATATCGATTTGAAAATGCAAGATTCAACTATACAATGAAATTTAATTTTGTTTTTGTCCTACAAATGGGAAAAGCCAAGATCAGGTTGATTTTTGTACAATTCTAAATAGAAGACTGAAAAGCATATGTCTTTGCACCATGCACTACTGTAACATATCTGTGTTTTGTATGAAACATTCTCCAAGCTTGGCTGTAATTGATTCCTTTTCTTTTCAGTTGTTCCCATCCTGTTTGTGGGCCCTTGGGGAATAAGCAGATCAAAACTGGAGAACACAGGGTAAGTTACTAAATAAAATGTGCCTTAGAAAACTGGCTTTCTGTTTGCTGGAAACCCTTGACAGTAGTTGACACAGGTATTGATTACTAGATTATATTAAGATTATACAGCACCTATTAATATTTGTTACATTTTCTAGGTTAATTTTAGTACTTTTACATTAAACTTTAGATTTAGGATTTTACATTAAATTCTAGGAATTCTCAAATTTACTTATACATAAATCAAGAAGTAGAATGAACATTCACTGTTCCTGAAATGAAAGCTATCGCATCCAATATTCATCCACTTACATGAAGCAAATTGTCAGCACAAATAGCTTCATGGAAAGTATCTTGTTAGTAAGAAAAGGAGACCAGTGTTTTCCTTGGAGAGTATTTGCATTTTCAGTTTAATTAGTATTCACTGCCATTTTGAAAAAAGAAAAATTGTTATGGAGGATAATGACAAAAACTGATATTCACTAAAAGTTGATATTAAATGAATGTGTTCAGTATTCAGTGAATTAATCAGTAAGAGTAACTTGAACTAGTAAGAGTCAGATTTCCAGCCTTCTGATCTTCAATGATGCTGTTAATGGCATCACAGAGACTTTGGGGTTTATGTATGATTTTTCTTGTTCCCCTATTTTATTTGTTCCTAGAGAGTTTTGTTTGGAACACCAATATAGTTATTAAGCAATCACATCAGAAACCAAATCACTGTTACAATCCCATAGAGTTAGATGTTATATAGACCATAAATGACAAGCCAAGATTCTATGGAGTTTCAGGCTAATTAGCAAGAAGGAGCTTAGGACAAATTAGAAGGTTAGAGCAGGAGTAAAGTAGAAAGCTTCAAGGAAAAAGTACGCATACTTTTTAGCAGGTCAAGAACCATGGCCACAATTCATAGTTTACCCATTTCAAGTTTCCAGTTTCAGATAGATAAATTTGAGTAGGATGAATTCAATTATGAAGGTTTGGCGTTTGGTGGCATGTACAGTTGTGTGGATCCAAAGACTGAGTTTGCCATATAGTTATGAAGTTTGCAGTCCAGGGAAACCTCTCAACATTCTGGTGGAAGGATCTTCAGAATAAATACAATTACAGCTGTTGGTGAGATTCTTCCTAGTTTTTTTTCTAGTTCCATTTCTCCTGAGTGTGACCTGAAAAAGTTGAACTCTGTCAACTTCCTTTTGAAATATATACAGAGGTTATGTAAGCTTTTACATTTTTTACTATGACAATATAATTACATAATTATACTTTAAATTATTCTTCAGATGCTGGGCAACGAATGAACATATGGGAATCTGGTGGATCATCCGAGGACCAATGTTATTTTCCATTACAGTAAGAATTATTTCATCTGTTCTTCATACCATACACAAGTGTGATTGTCTTTTGTGACCCTTTCTCCAAATATAATCCAATTCTTGGATTATAAAAGATGAGACAGAAAAAATCGTAAATGAGGTTTCTTACTGTGGGTGGATGGGCATAGCTACCTCTCTGTTTATCTACAAACAACAAATATTTCCCTATCAAACTCTCGAAACACTGCTGTTTATCTGTGTGGTGAATTCTGCATAGAACCCTCTATATCAAAGATGTATTCTTTTTCTTCTCATATTTTTTACTTATATTTTTATCCTCATTTTGTAAGTGAGCATGTTACTTAGGAGAGTGGTACCATGTAGTGAGCACCACTAGAAAGCCCCAAGTTGTCTATAGAACAAGATGGAAAACAAGAAGATGCACATGGAAAATAAGGAGGTGATTGGTG